TATATAAGTCTCTTTGTGTGAGAGTTCGGCTTCGAACCAGAGAAAGTTTGACTTGGACTCCCAACCTGACCGGTTCAACTTTGGACCCCAGTCCTGATGTAGTCTGAAGTCCACTCCTCTGAATTCCTGAGCAGATAAACATGTTGCTCGAGTACAATTTGTAAGAAGAAAATACAGAAGATGAAGCATTTTTCTCACTGCAAGTCTCTCGTTCTTGGCTTGAAGTCTAAGCCGACTGAAGGTTGCGATAAACGGCACCTTCTCATCATCTGTTGACCTCACCGACCCCTGAAGCAGTCACAGTGATTTTCAGCTACCTTGGGCAGTTCCTGGCAAGCCCTTTTCATGGTGTATCCTGGTCTGATCCATCAGCAGAACCCCAGAAAGCTGAGTGACCAGGTACCTTCAGCACTGACCCGGTAAGGAGCAGAAACCTGGTGACATGATGCAACTCTTGGTCTGATATGCTATTTTAGCTAATGCAACTTGGTAAATCATTTCCTGGCTTTCACTGATAATGAATGACTTATCTGATCAGATTAAATAACTTATTTTAATCTAAATCCAAAGCAATCTATTTATTAAAAATAGTCAAACTTTGTCTAAATTTGTGTGCGTATAAAACCCAATATAATTCCTGCTCAAATAGTTAATTTTGCCTTAGATAAGAGAATTAAGCCTTGATTGAGTAATTTGTTTGTTTATTATTGTTGTTGATTCTTAGTTTGATTATTTTTGTAATAAAACTTCAAAGACAACTTTGGTCTCTTTGTTCGGATGAATATTTATTTGTTCTGGTATGGGACTCCTTGTAATTATTGGACTCTACTTCTGTGACTGATTCTGATTATTAAAGGGTGAATATATTAATTAAGTTGTTGTTGGTCAGTAAACTGACCAGCTGGTGCCACACTTTAACGAGAGCTAAAAAATAAACAAATGTAGTGGAGGGGAGTGGTGAAAGTGTCACCCTTCTTCTTTCATCACACTTCATAATTGCTACATAAAATAAAACACTTGGATGGACATCTACGACTGATTCACTTTTAGAGCCAACTTAATTCAGCATGGTTGCCAGACCAGTTCACCTCAGAAAATAAAAAAATTGCTGAAATACAGTAAACTTTACCAATATTGGGCTAACATTCAGTGTGGTGGTGTCATCCCAAAACACATATTTCATGACCTTCTTATTCTGCAAGAGTTTTGCTTTAAACTTAAGCATTGCATGTTTGTCAGCATGTCTGTCTGTTAGCAAAATTTCCCAAGAACAACTGGAGATATTTTAGTGAAACTTTCAGTAAATAATCAGCTGACTTACGTCAACAACTGATTAACTTTTGGAATCAGTCAAATTTAAGATGTTTTGTGTTGGTTTTTAGTCAGTAGCCAACACAAAGATCTGTATCTCAGTTTTGTTTTGTTTTTTGTGCCAAGGTGGCTGGAATCCCTGGTGCTGCAGCTTAACAAGCTCCTGGTGCGATCCCACTTTTTAGGAGTTTTGAAATTGACTCCGTGCCTGACTCCGCATGATTTATGTGGGTATTCACCGAATATATTATTATACTATATTAGCCGAACTGAACTGATGAGAATAAGAGCGGATTTGTCACGAAATATAGCGGAGATCAGTAACGAACTCAAATCTGCCTGGAAGCTGCAGCAGAGACGCACCAACGGGCAGAGGAGGTGCTGCTCCTGGCTTAAGAAGCAGGGTCGCCAGGCGAAGATTCTGGTGAGGGTATGTGTTAACGCTAAAGCTGGAAGACTCCCGATACCATCACTCTTTCTGTCGAACGTCTGCTCATTGGACAACAAGATGGATTTGCTTCATCTGAGAGTGAGCACCTCAGAGGAGATGAGGAAATGTGTGGTGCTTTACCTCACGGAATCATGGCTTAACAGCAACATGCTGAATTCAGCCTTCCAGCTGGATGACAGACTTTTTGTTGTGCAGACCGCTGCAGCAAGCTAACTGGGAAATCGAGGGAAGGCGGAGTATGCATTTACATGAGTAAAAGTTGGTGCACAAACTGTACACGGATTAACCATCATTGCTCCAAGACTTTGGAGCAGCTAACAATGAAATGTTGACCACATTATCTACACCGTGAGTTCACAGTGACTTTTATAACAGCTGTTTATACAGCTCCGGATGCTAATGCTAATGACGCTCTGCGGGAGCTGCATGATCATTTCAGCTCAATGCAGAGCAAACAACCTGATGCTCTTTACATAGTGGCTGGAGACTTGAATCACGTGAATCTAAAAGATTGTCTCCCAAGATTTTACCAGCATGTGGCCATACCAACATGTGGAAACAACACGTTGGACCATGTTTACAAGAACGTAAAAGATGTATTCAAAGCTGAACCCCGCCCCACCTAGAACTGACTGATCACATCTCAATCTTCCTGGCTCCTGCTTACCTTCCCCCACTGGGAAGCTCAAGACCGGTACAAAAGAAAGTTAAACTGAAAGACTGTTTTGAACAAACAGACTGGGGGTTCTTTAGTGGCCGTTTACACGGCTCGTATTTTGAGTGAATCCACAGCTTTCTCTCTGCGGTTCTGCTGATCATTTACACGACACCAGTGGCTCCCTCTTTGAATCCGGAGGTTTCTGAACCCACCTTCCAGAGTGGAGGATTTTCACTGACCGCCCAATGATAAAGTAAACATCTCCTGCTGAGGCTTTGTGTTAAACCACATGTGCACATGCACGCACGGACAGACGCTATATTTCTATTAACATGGCGGCAGATACACTGCTTTCTGAACTACGACTGATGGAATATATTTTTAATCTTGTAGTTAATCTACGTCAGATTCCAGGTGCTATGACCGACATCTTTGTTGGAAGAAACACAGTCGGATCCAGTTCTAATATTGCTGTTTATAGAACGTGGCATGCGCACACGTCGCGCTGCACTATAACATACTAAATGTGCTAAATAATAACAGTTTAATAATAATAAACAGTATTTATCTTAAGTGTGAGAGATATAATGAAGCTCTCTGAGCTAAATGAAGCTCTCAGGACATTATGTAATTCAAATTATGTGATTAAAAAGATGCTAAACATATTGCATGTTAATAATGTTGAAAATGAAAACATCAA